GGAGTTTTGCAGCCACAGTATTACCCCCGCTTTTGGCTACAATGGGTAAAGGGGCTCACCCTGTCTGCAGTTTTGCCCCTCTTACCAATCTCCTCCCGGCTAACTTCTGTGCTCCTTTTAGATCAACTGTACTTCAACTGGTTTTTCATGTTTAGCTGCAAGTCCAGTCCAAGGCTGGGAGCAAGTGGACCGAGCTTCCAGCTGCTCTGCAGTTCTTGGAACTCCCATTCCTGCTTTCTTTGCACAGCATTATTGTGGTTTATCTATTTCCATCCTTGTCCTTTTAACCTTTTGAGTTATATTTGAGGTGAATTTCTCCTAGGAAGTATATGATTAAGTTGTACTTTTTAAAAACAAAAAATCCGTTCTGACACTCAGTGCCTCTTAATTGTGTTTTCAGGTCATTTATACTTAATATGATGATTGACATAAACCTTTTATCCTGTGATTGGTTTCTCATTTGTTATGTGTTCCCTTCTCCTCTTTCCAACTATTTTTATTATTCCATTTTATCTCTCTTGTTAGATTGTTAACTATAACCTATTGTTAGTTTAGTAGTTGTTTTAGGGTTTAGAGTTTGTATATTTCATTTATCACAGTGTCTGTTCAAATTCACATAGAAGAAACTTACAGTAGTCTATTTCATATACTTCTCCTCTTCTGGCCTTTGTGCTATTGTTACAGAACAAACAAGGGGGGCCTGGGACGATATACTATTATTGAAAAAAAAGCCTCCAGGTCCATCATGTCCGCTGCCCGAGGAAAGACATCTCTCAATGCCAGAGATTTGTGAAAAGGAAAGGAAATGTTTATTTAATGCTATACAAACGTAAAGTAGTGAACTAATGTCTTTATCAAAAATCCCAAAGTCCCTTAAAACACCCACAAACAGACACAGTCCTTCCTTCCTTCCCCCTTTGCCCAGTCCAGAGTACCGTATCTCAGGAAAGGAAATAGAAGTCCATGGCTCAGGCAGTCCTCTGGTTCTTCCCAGTTAGTATTCCATCTCGACTGGGAGACCTCCCTGGGTTCCTGGCACCCTCAGCTGAGTCGCTGGGATCTCTGCTAAAACCAGGTGGTGGTTCCCCCTTCTAAAGCTGCGGGGGTCCCCACTCTGGCAAAGGCACGTGGTCCTCTCTGAGGGCTGAGGGAAGGGAGAGTCCCTACTCTATCAAGGCCGCATGGTTCTCCCTCTCTCAGGGCTGCCGCGTGGTTCTCCCCCTTAAAGCAGCATGGTTCTCCTTCTCAATGGCTGCCACCTCTGAGTTTAAATCCCTGCACCAATCTTCCTCTGCAGCCCCATTTCCGACTCCTCCTACACTTGGGCACACTTGCCCTCAATCTGCTGTCTTCTCCAGCTTTTCTGGTCGCCATGATGGGTCTGGGCAGGTGTGACCCCATGTCCTGGAGCCAATCTTCTCCCAGCTCCCATGCAGGCACTGTAACTCAGGGGACCTGCCCCCCAGTCCCATCTTGGGGGGGGATCCCTTTCCATGCCCCTGGCCTTGAGCCTGGCCATAGCTATTTAGCATATTTAAGCAACCAGCCAAAGGCTATAGGTATGTTAAATGACCATTCCAGAGGGTAGCTGCAAGGCTGTTGCTATGCGAAACAGCTCTCAAAGGCCCTGCCTCATTTGTCCCTGCCCCCAGCCCACACCTGGGGAATGGGGGTGAAGACATCTTAAAATCTCCTGGACACCTTAAGGTCTGGACCCCATTTCAAATGCCCATTTGGGGTCCCCCCTCTTGGTTGCACCCTGTAACACTATTGTTTTCATACAGCTTGCTTCTATATGATATATATCCTAAATTACATTATTTTTATTTTAGTTTTAATAGTAATGTATCTTTTGGTGAAGTTTAAATAATAAAAAAAAGTCTTACATGTGTACACTGTCATCATTGTCTCTGGTGTTCTTCATTCCCTTTTGTGGATCCAGATTTCTATTTGCTGTCCAATTACACATATATTAAGCCTCTTGAGGTTGCACTTCCACTCACTAATACTCTACTTACAAATTTTTAAATATATTTTCTCTGTTTCAAAAAGCATCTGGCACACAGTCGATGTTTTCCAATCAGGCAGCACAGGGAAGAATTCCACACACAGATCCACATCTATTAATATGATCCTCACAGCCTGTCACACACACTATCATATTGCACTCTTACTCCACTCTCTACCAACCTGACTGACCCTTTCTATTATAGCCATTATCCAAAGGAACCTCACAAATCTCACACATACAATCACACACGGTCACAGAAATGCAGCATGCCCTCCACAGCAGTTTTTACATAGTTACTCTCACAGAAACACACACACAATGACAGAACCAAAGGATCACACACCAACTCAAGAAATCACAGTCTGATGACAGAAACTTGTGGGTAGACAATAAACAAATAAAAAACTAAAAATATTAACACTATTGAAGCAGGAGACAGAATAGAAAGAACTCTGACACTGCAATACTGTCACTGGCCAGCATTTATCACCCTGTTGCCAGGAAATGCCTTTTACCAATTAGGTAGAATAAATAGTGAACTGAGGCAGGGAGGAGGAAGGAGACAAATCTCACATGTTAACTCAGCAGTCCTAAGCCTGTTCTGATAATATTGCGAGGTGTTTCAATATCACAAGAAACACTGTATTAGCTCTGGCTGGCGTAGCTCAGTGCATTGAGCGCGGGCTGCGAACCAAAGCATCATAGGTTCGATTCCCAGTCAGGGCACATGCCCGGGTTGCAGGCCATGACCCCCAGCAACCGCACATTGATGTTTCTCTCTCTCTCTTTCTCCCTCCCTTCCCTCTCTAAAAATAAATAAATAAAATCTTTAAAAAAAGAAAAAAAAAGGAACACTATATTAGCAAGGAAGAGCCCATAAATCAAGTTTGGTTAATTGTCTACCTCTGGTCACTATCTGTCTTACAAGGGAGTCCCTGATGCTTACAGAAAGAGCCCATAAATAACTTTGGAAAGTGCCCCAAAATTTAATTAACTGCCTCCTGTCACGTATTTGTTTTACAACAGGATGACCAAATGGAGTCTGGAGCAAGATAAGAATTCGGACTGACAGACCCCCATTCATCCCTAAATTTGGGTAGTCACATTTCCACAGGAAAGCTGGAGCCACATTTACCCATTAATCAATATGTAACTATTTTTCCCTCCTATCCCACCAACTATATAAGTCCTGAGAACAAAGGACTCGCTCTCGCTCTCTCCAGGGCTCAGGGTGCTCTTGGCTCTCGGGCCATACGGCCTCTGGCCACCCAGCCTCGGGTTGCCCAGGGGCTTGCCACCCTGGTTTCCAGCCCTCTCTTGCTTTTCTCACCTTGCTTTGCTCTGAAACTTTCCCTTTCACCCCCTACTCTACCCAGTCCTGTTCTCTTCCATGGAAGTGGACCACTAATAAACTGATTTCGTACTACTAGATTTGCTGATACATAATTCTTTACATGCATCAGCAAGAAGAACCAGGTCTCTCCCGTCAACACTATTGTCCTAAGTGAGTATAGTATTACTATACATTAAGGAGCCATGAAGTGCCAGGGGAGAGGTGAGATTAGGAAAAGCCTCTTTGGAAATGTGACATTTGTATCTGGATGGAGGGAGAAAGCGAAATTTGAAGATGCCTGGCAAAAGGGCCATTTTAGGAAGGGGGAAACATTCACACCCACCATTACCAAATCACAAATACCAGAATGGTTATACCTTCTGGTAGGGGACTCAAGACTTGGAAAATTTTAGGGTAAAAAGGGGAAAATTTAAGGTAAAAAGTTATAAGTCTAGCAAGTAATGTGTATGTTAAGCTTTTGTTTCAGAAACTACAGATAAGGCCCATCCTGGCTCCTGGGAAAAGCAGCCAACCCCCTAGGGCACTGGCTAGAGATTACCACCTGGGGACAAGTTGAGGGATCCAGGCCTTTTGTGTGACCATCCCCTGCCCCCCACTTGGGAACAGCTAACTGTGGAGAACAGGAATGCTGCAGCTTGGCTCACCTAATCCTCCCTGAATTTCAAAGCCCTCACCACACCTGGTTTGTCCTCCCCCACCCCCTTATAAAAGATCTGGCCAGGAAAGAGAAGATAAGATGGTTTTGTTGGGGTATGAACCTGCCATCTTCTTGGATCGTTGGCCATCTAAATAAAGCGCCCATAAGATTCATTTGCTGTCATTGCTTATTGGATTTGGTAGTGACAACCAGCCCAAACGCTGGTGTCTTTTCCCTTTACACTTCTACCTTGACCCCATCCTGCGGTAAGCTATTCAGTAAACAAGACTGCCCTACAGGACCCCTGTAAAGACATATAAGGCGCCTGTACACTGAAGCCCTTGTTCCCGCCCTCTGCCCGTCCCGCCCCACTTTATTCATTGACCTTTACAAAATTCTAGGAACTATCCCTCCTCCCACTTTGTGCAGGACGCACTCACTAGTGCCACATATAGACCCCGCCCTCTGCAGCCAACCCCGGGCTTAGCCCAGGATGCTGTGGGTTGTGGACCGAGGATTTATGCCTGTGAGCTTTAGACCTAGACTGACTCAAAGGAAACTGGGCTCAGTCCTCATTGCGGACCCAGGCCGGGAGCTAAGAGGAACAGGGACTTCTGAGCTCCTTCCGGAAGATCTGGGAGGGGCGGGCACGGGAGGACTGGGAGCAGAGGAAGTGGCGTTTGGAGCCCACAGCTCCAGCGCACTTGGACTCTGCTGCACCGCCAGTTTTTTTTTTTTTCCCTTGGTTTGGACTACATTTCCCAGTGGACACCGCGTGTATTAGTTGCGCTCTTTTGTGTCCTCGAGAGGACTCTAGTCCCTTCTTTCTGGGCCTGCGGGGGCTGGGTTCCATCTGATTATTAAGGTGTGGAGGTGGGCCTTTGTAGAATTGACCCAGCCTTGGAGGTGAGGACGGGATTTTCCCCGCAGTTCAGTTCTACAGGTAGGGGGTGGGCCGAGGAGTGGCCTGTGAGTCATCGGGCCGCCAGTCCCTGGGCCCTATGTGTGACTTGGTCGTTGATGTGGTGCCTTGGAAGACTGGCACTCAATATGCTTGTACACGTCGTATCTGGGTGACTGTGGGTGCAAGTCAGGGGTTGGTGCCACGGACTGTGAGCCTGTGAGTAAGGGTGGAAGAGTATGTTCTGTCCCCCTCTTCTTGTATCCTGGGCTTCTTTGTGATGGGGCTGTGTGAGGGAGACCGTCGGTTGTAATACCCTAGTATTTGAGGCTTTGGGGTACGGGAGGGGGTGACTGTGGAGACTGTATTCATACCCATGGCCACTGACTGTGACGTGTGTAAAATTTTTGATGCTGTAGTGTTTAAGAATCTGTAGCTACGGAGATTGAGACTGTGTGCCACCACTGATTTCTTGAAGAGGACTGTGGTGTCAAGAAGACCCTTTATTTGATCTTGGTGCTGTTACTTATTAGTTGTGTTGTCTTTATATAAATGGTTATATACATTACTCGGAGTTTTTATTTGTAAAATCCAGAAAATCTATTGTTAAAATAATAAATCAGGGGATGATTTAGGCATGGATTAAATTGTATGCAAATTCCCAGGTTTCCATTATGCTTTCTCTTTATTGGAGAGGATACTGTTCTCTTATCAGGAGGAGAGAACCTGGAAATTTCTAGGCTGGTGATTCTGGGGCTGCAGGGAAAACCTAGTTTCTCATGTTCTCTTTCCCATCTTACTCATCTAAGGACACAGCCGTTTCCCAAGAGAAGAGCCAAGAGGAGGAAGCAATGGCTGTGGGACTTCTTAAAGCCATGTACCAGGTGAGTTGGTGTTTCTCTTTCCTTAAATATTTTCCTGCTTTTTAAAACAAGCAGACATTAATTTTCCTTCTTCTGAAACTTTTTCTGAGTAACCAATTATGTTACTTCTTAAAACTCTCCAATGAATTCCCACCTGTTCAGGATAAATGTCTTTGCCTGCAAGGTCCTACATAATCTGGTCCTTGACTATCATCCCTCTGACCTCATGTATTTTTCTCACCCTGTCTGTAACTTACTTGGTTTTAGCCACACTAGCTTCCTTATAATGAGTTGGATATATTCTTAATCATGGCCTTACCCTTGCCGCTTCCTCTGCCTGGAATGCTGTACCGACAGACACAGACCAACTTCATTCTAGTCTCTGCCCAAACACTGATTCATTCATTCAACACATTTTTATTAAGCACCTATTAACTCAGAGGGTTTAGTCCTTGGTCCACTCCTGTGCTCTGTCTATAATCACTCTTTTGGTGATCTTATCCTGTCTCACAGCTTTAAATACCATCTATATGCCAACAATTACCAAACTGTATACAGCTTAGACCTCTCTTGTATAATCCAGACTTGTATATTCAACTGCCTATGTTTGATTATGTAATAGAAACCTCAAATTCAGACATCTCAAGATGAGTGAAATGAGCCTATGGAAGTTTTATGGCATGGGAATCACATGATCTGATTCTTGTTTTAATAGGGTCATGCTGGTAAAGTTCAGCTGTGTAGAGTACAGAAACTGAGTATATGCTGAGACATGGCTGTAATTTAACCACGTGAATACAGTTAAGTGAGAGAAGTGCAGGAAAGTTGAAGGTGTATGCATGAAGTGATTATAGCAAATGGTTGTGCTAGGAAGTGAGGGAACGAAGAGGTGAGGAGCAGTGAAACTGTGGCAAGATCAATGATCTGTAGGTTCTTTTGGGGTGAAATAATTATCCTAATGGGACACCATGGGGCAAAAGTCAGAATATAGAAGGTGGAAGTCAGAGGTTATGGAGGGTTTGGTCCTTATTGGTAATGACAAGGTCTGGGGCATTACCATGAAAGTGAATGACTGTACAAGTATGAAGGACATTATAGGAGGTGAGGGGAGTTGGAGAACTGAGAGTCCAGGTTGTTGGGAGGATTACTTATATGAATATTGAAATGACCAAAGATTATAACAGGAATAGCATTGGAGAGAATGATGGTGAGCCATGTGTTCAAAGAATGACAGAGAATTGGTATCTGCCAGGAATGGGTAGATAACGAAAACAATGAGGGATAGTGTGACTGATACAGTGTGATTTCATGAGATATAAAAGTGAGTGTCTTTTGGGGAGAAGGGAGGAAGGGAATAGTCTGGAAACAAGTATAAGGCTCAAAGAGGTCACCCATCTCACTTTCAGGTTCTGTACAAGGGCTGTGGGGAATGAGAGTCACCACATGACAAGAATTAGGGGGAAATAGTCTTCTCAGCTTGGAGCCATGTTTCTGCAAGGGCATCAGTGGTGAAGAGAACTGTGGTTATGCCTCAGATTGGTTTGATTATAATTATGACTGGATTTTGAAACTAAGTATTATGTTCATTTGTTAGAGGTCTAACTATAAATATTTTACAATTAGAATTTAAGCTTCTTATATTGACATTGTAATTATTTTCCCTGTTTAAGGTCAAAGGATAAGTGAAAAAATGTGTGTGTCATATATAAAAATACTTATACATTTATTATATGTGTTTATATAAGCTAAAATGATTTTTGAAAGCATATCTACCATATGAACCAAACTCTTAACAGGAAGATTTATGCAACATATGAGGTATGTTATTGCAAGAACAGAGAGGAAGAAATTCACAAACTACTTCATATAATTAAATAAAAAAGGTTACTGAGTGTTACAAAGCACTTTAAGAATTTTTATTTGGTATAGGCAGCTTCTTTTTAAATCATGACAAAATTGCACCAAATGACCAATAATGAAGTCTTTTCTTGCCATGACAGATTTACCTTTTTCAGTTTTGTACAAAAAACAAATTCTATACACATACCCACACAGACACATAATGTGTGTTAGTGTCATCAGCAAGTGGTCGCATTATAGAAGTCTGGAATTCAATAGAATCACAGCATGGCTCGCACATTTTTAAGAACTTTTCCCAGCCCACTTAGGCAGGAGTGCTATTACCCTGCCTAATAGCAGGGGAATACCCCTTTAATTCCAGGTACTCTGGATTGAAGTATTTGAATTTTAATGGAATTCATGACTGGCTCGGTCTAGCACATTTTTTAGAGATATAGCAAACAATTTCTGGTCTCACTTTTAATCCTATTACAGCCTCTTGAACTTTTTGAACAATTCATTTATTAATTCAGTTTATTCAGTGAATGTTTGAATACCTCATGTGTGCCAGATACCGTTCTGTAACTAGCATAGCAGAGCAATCAAAACAAAACATACAGTGCTTTGCCCTCATGGAGCTTATATTTTAGTGTAGGTAGGGAGGGGGAGGCAATAAATAATGAAAAAATTAAGTGCCATAGAGAAATATAACCACACTTAGGGGAATGGAAAACTGGGGCAGGAGCATGGCTATTTTTTTTAATTTTTATAAATTGTGGTAATATATGCACACCATAAAAGCTTACAATTTTAAGCATTTTTTAAAGATTTTATTTATGTATTTTTAGAGAGGGAAGGGAGGGGGAAAGAAAGAGAGAGAAACATCAATGTGAGGTTGCTGGGGGCTGTGGCCTGCAACCCAGGCATGTACCCTGACTGGGAATCAAACCTGTGATGCTTTGGTTCGCAGCCCTCACTCAATCCACTGAGCTATGCCAGCCAGGGCAGGAGCATGGGTATTTTTATGCAGAGTGATCCAAGAAATACAAAAGCCCTGAGGGGGAACATGCTTGACCTGTTTGAGGATATGTTAGTGAGAGCCCTCTGTGGCCAGGGGGCAAAATGAATGAGGTAAGTCTGGTAAGAGATGAGGTTATTTTACTTAATTTATTTCATTTCAGGAGTTGGTGACCTTCAGGGATGTGGCCATAGACTTCTCCCAAGAGGAGTGGGATTGTCTAAATTCTTCTCAAAGGCATCTGTACAGTAACGTGATGTTGGAGAACTACGGGATCTTGGTATCATTGGGTAAGAAAGAACATCTTGCAGAATCGAACTTCTGTTCATAAGGAGCTCTTTGCTACCACCATTATGACTTTTTGGATAGCGTCTGCAGTGCTTGGCCAAATGTGTGTTTCCTATATCAAATAATGGTTTAATATTTGTGGAGTTGACAGTGGATTGGTCTGTGCCAGAAGGTTCTGCTTCCCTGTCTTTTGAATACATGTCATTAACCCATTATTCTCTGGTTTACTGTTAAGTCCCCTCTTCCCTGATGATCAAAGGATTAGATGTGTGTTCTGGGATATCCACAGTATGATCAAATTCTGTTTCTTTTTATGTGTGCAGGACTTTGCTTTTCTAAGCCAAGCATAATATTATTGCTGGAACAAGGGAAAGAGCCATGGATGGTAAAGAGAGAGTTGGCAAAAGGCTTGTGCTCAGGTAGGTAAAGAAGAAATAGGTAAAAAACTGCAGGGGGCAGGTCAGCATGACTCAAAGGTGTCACCTCTTCATTTTTCTTTGGCATGTTCTCAAATGCCCTTGGTCTTAGTACAGACTTGGGGCCTTTTGGGGTGTTACCTCAAATTTATTATTCATAACTGTCTCTCCTTTAACACTTTGCCTCCATCTTTTTAATAACTCACTTATCTGTTCTGAGTCCCATTTCTTACCAGTTTCATAAGCTCCTTTCAGTATTTAAAAAAAAAATCATTTCCTAATCTGATAAACTTTTGAGCTTGACAGACAGCTCTACCTAATGTACCAGGTTCAAATCTTGACACATGCAGTGACATTTGGGGCAAGTTACTAACCTCTCTGTGCTTTTGTTTTTCATGCGTAAAATGGGGTGATTACTTTTAAAGTGCTTTGAATAGTCCCTATCTCATATTATGAATGCAGTAGCTGTTAGCTGCTATTGGTAGTACTAGTACACCCACAAATGCCTCATTTTTCTCTTAGTGGTCTGTTTATTTTTCCTTTAATCAACATTTTTTGAGATTTTACTTTAAACAAGGTACTTGCAAGATGCTAGGGTATTATACACTTATATAAATAAAAAAATTAGTAGGCTAGCCGTAGAGTTATGATATAGCTATAAATGGAATCTATGAAGAGGAAGTTGCAATAAATGGGAAACTCACAGAAAAAGGTGAGAGGCAGAGGAGTGTGGGTAACTGAGAAGATGATTGATTGTCTTTAGCAAAAACACAGGTCAGAAACTAGAAAACATTTGAGGAAGAAGATAATAAGAGCTGTTTTTTGTGGCATAGGAAGGATTTTCATATGGACATAGGAATCATTGAGGTAAAATAGAGAACTGAAGTTTAGAAGAAAATCAAGATCTTTGTAAACATGTCTTGTCAGTACCACTCCCCAACTCACCTACTACTACCTCTTCCCAATCTCTTATGTCCTTGTTCAGTTTTGTGAGAAAAAAATTTTTGATGTACAATCATAATACGTCAAATATTATGTCAAATATTATTTGACACAAATATATGTCAAACATGTATGATTAAATTTTTAGTAATTATTATTAAACAACTTACACACAAAGATCTTAGCATAAATGTGTAGTTTACATAGTAACAGAACAAAAGCCCATATACCTACTTCTTAGTGTAAGAAATAGAAAATTGTCAATGCCATTTTAGGCCCTTGAGGGCCTCTGCCTAATGATATACCATTTTCTACCCATGGTTCATCCCCACCCCTCAGTGGGGTAACCATTATCCTACAGTTTTGCTTATCATTGCTTGGTTTTTCTATATAGTTGTATCCTATATCCATATTTTAAACTTTTATGCATGGAAATATATTGTGTATGTAATTCTGACCCTTTTAAACTCAAAATTGTATTCCTGAGGTTCGTTCATGTTGATTTTAATAGCTATGGTTCATTGAATAATTGTTTCTGATGAAGTATAATGTATTCCGCTATGTAAACCATGCTTTATCCATTGAAGGTCACTTGAATTGTCTTAGTTTTGTTCTATTGTAAATGTTACTGCTATGAACTTTATTATATGTGACTGCTGCTGCACATATGCTGGAGTTCATTTAGAGAATACAGCCAGGAATTTACTAGACAATGCTATTTTATTTTCCAAAGTGCTTGTACCAATTTACATATCTTAGCAGCTGTGTGTGAAATTGGTCATTGAACCACACTTGGAAAAGACAAGTTAAAAAAATTTTTTGCTTACTTGCTGGATGTGAAATATTATCTTCTTATACTTATAACCTGAATTCCCTTGATTTCCCTAAAGACATTGAACATATTTTCTTTTTTAAAATTATTTTTAAATATTTATTTATTTTTAGAGAGTAGGGAAGGAAGGAGAATGAGAGGGAGAGAAACATCAGTTAGTTGGTTTCATACTCACCCCAACCGGGGACTGAACCCACAACTCAGGCATGTGCCCTGACTGGGAATCAAACCGGTGACCTTTTGCTTTGTGGGACAATGCCCAGCCAACTGAGCCACACCAGTCATGGCTAGCATATTTTCATATTTATAATGGCCATTTGCACTTCCTCCATTGTGAGGTACCTGTTCAAGTCTTTTGCCCATTTTTAAGAAGACTGTCTTTTATACATACATTTGTAATTTATATTTTTAATATTTTATTTTAAGATACTGTTCTGTATTCCAAAGTTATATGTACTCTCAAATTATCTTCTAAAGATTTTCCTTTTATATTTAGGGTCATAATACAATTTAATTTAATTTTTGAGATTGAAGTAAATTTAATTTTATTGCCTTATGGAAAACCAAATGTCCTAGATAGTTACTTATTTTTTAGACTATAAGACTCACCGCCCCCCCCAAATTTGGGAAGAATAATGGTTGTTAATGCTGCTGTTGAGTTCTGTTTCCATTTACATTGGTGAAATATTATGTTATTTATGTTATTAAATATTTTACCACATTTTTTGCTACAAAATTTTTTTTCCTATTTTTCTCTAAAATCTAGATGCATCTTATGGTCCACAAATATGGTACTGAATAAATGAGCCCTTTTGCTTATTGTTCTGAATGTTACTTCTTACTATATCAGGTTATAGTATATTTATGGATCTGATTTTGAGCTCTACTCTGTTTGTCTCTGTTTCCTTATGCCCAGCCTATCTGAAATAAAATACTTTATTATAAGGCTGAATATCTGTTAGGGCAAGTCCCTGTACCTTGTTTATGTTCTGTAGAATCTTTTGTTTGCTCTTTGGCCATCTAAGAAAAGTTTTGTGTCAGCTTGTCAATTTCTACCAGAAAACAATAAAGCTATTAGCTTTGGATTTGTTAATTGATTTATTTTATATACCAATTAACTTTTTTCTATTTGTTAATATGGTTTATCTTTCCATTTATTTAGGTTTTTAAATTTCCTTCAATATGTTTTATAAATTTCTGCAAACAGGCCATGCACATCTTCTGTTAGATCAATTTCTAGGCATATTGGTTTGGCTGCTATATTAAAAGTCTATATTTTCTATTTGTTATTCATATGCAAAAATGAAGGCAGGTTTTATACATTGAGCTTATAGCCAGCAACATTGATAAGGTGTCCTACTATTAATGATAATAAATTTTAGATTTCTGCCCTGGCTGGTGTGGCTCCGTGGATTAAGTGCTGGCTTGTGAACCAAAGGGTCTCTGGTTCGATTCCCAGTCAGAGCACATGCCTGGGTTGCATGCCAGGTTCTCAGTAGGGGGTACACATAAGAGGCAACCACACATAGATGTTTCTCTCCCTCTCTTCCTCCCTCCCTTCACCTCTGTCTAAAAATAAATAAATGAAATCTTCAAAAAAAGTTTTAGATTTGTTTTTTTTTTTTCTGTGAGCAGGTAAATCTGTGAATAATGGCAGTTTCTTCACTTTATTTTTTTTAAGATTTTATTTATTTTTATTTTTAGAGAGGGAAGGGAGGGAGGAAGAGAGAGAGAGAGAAACATCAATATGCAGTTGCGGGGGTCACGGCCTGCAACCCAGGCATGTACCCTGACTGGGAATCAAACCTGCGACACTCCTTCACTTTAAATTCTTATGCGATTAATTTCTTTTTTCTGTTGCCCTGTCTTCAGTCTTCAGTATGGTATAAACTGAAGTAGTGATAGCAGGCATTCTTGCAACTTCTGGTCTCAATGAACATGCTTTAATATTCTCTTATTAATAATTCTGATATTTGAAGGTTTTTAGTAGACACCCTTTCAGTTCTGTTTACTAGAGTTTTGATTGTGGAAAGCATTTGAGTTTTAAGACATGTTTTTTCTGTATCTAGAGATGATTAAATAGTTTTTAGTTTTCATGTGTTAATGTGGTGAATTACATATTATATTTTTAGTGTTCAACCAGTCTTATATTCCTGATACAAACCATCTATATGTTTTCTGTTCACTGTTATTGCTGTACAGCAATAATTTTTTAAGGTTTTTTGCATCTGTTTATGGGTGGCGTTATCTTTCAGTTCTTCCTTCACATACTCTTCTTGTCATATTTTGGAATTAATATTGTCTTAGTCTCACAGAATCTGTCGATGGGTATTCCTCTTTTTCTTCCTTAGAAGAATTTGTGTAAATCAAAATTATTTGTTTTTTTAATATTTTGTATTCAAAATTTTGAATATTTTGTAGAACTTTGTTTACCTTGGCCTGGAATTTGTGTGTGTGTGTGAAAAGAATTTAAATTGATATGTTCTTAGATTTTATATTTTTTATTCTCCTGTAGTCACAGAGTTATGGTATTTTTATCTAAGAATATATACTTATTTAAGTTTTTGAATTTATTAAAGTTATCCATTATTTTCTAAAATAATGAATAAATAAGTATAAGTAAATAAGAAGTTGGTAGCTACCAACTTCTTCCAATACCAATTATGGCTTCTTTTTTTTTTCCAAAATGGAGAGACAAGTCTTTATAGAGGTGTTATCAGTTTTTCAGTGTTTTCAGAAACTTTTTAATATTTTACTAATCTTCTCTAACATAGCTTTCTTAAAATTTCATGAATTTATCTTTATTATTTTATTCCTCCTACATTTATTTATCCTATTCTCTTTTTTTAACTTTTAAGTTGATAATTCATTGTTTTTGAAGCTTTTTCTTTTCTATTTGAAGTATTTAAGGCTATATTAGCAATATATCCTGCATGTTTTCACATGTAGCTTTTGTTATCTGTATATCTAAGCATTTTATAATTTTCACTGATTTCTTCTTCTTAACCAGTGAATTATTTGGGAGTTTTAAAGTCAAAATTTAATATTTTTATTTGGTTTAATTGCATTTTAGTTAGAAAGTGTGTTAATATGCCTTCACTGAAATTTTTTGAAACTTGCTTTATGTCCTAGGGATTTTGTAAATATTCCATGTTTCCTTGAAAAATAATGTCTATTTCCTATTGGTTGATTACAGCATTTGATATACATTCATTGAATTAACTTATTC